GCTTTAGATATGTTCTGACAGCTGTGAGGTGAGAGGAGGAGGGAGGCCAGCTGCTATTTTTACCCTCTGGTCAGTCGGGCCTGAAGCAGAGCGAGGAGCCCCTCAGTCCTTCTGGATCTCTCCTCGGCCTGACCAGAGAAACTTCTGGAGGTCCCCCCTCAGGGATAAGAGCAGGAGCTGAGCTCAGCAGGACCTGAACCTGAGCGAGTGGACAGAAGAGACAGACACGATGTCTCAGCTGTGCTACAACAGAGGCTGTGGACAGACGTTTGACCCCAGCAAGAACAAGGACGGTGAGACCTGTTTGTTTGGCTTTATTGTTTCTCTATTTTTTATTAAGTAAAATTTTTTTTCCTGAAACTCCAACAATGTGGGCAGAAGGAGTTTCTCCCCTGCAGCTCTGGAGTTCACTTCCTGTTTGTGTTTTTGGCCTTGGTGTGCAGATTAAATATAAATAGTCRGCCTAAAATATGGAAATTCATGCTGATCAGTTAGAAATGAGTGACTGGTTCATCAGAAGAAACGTTGGTTTGTGTTTGTTTCATCTGGTCTGTGTGTGAGGCCACGTTGTTCCTGGAGGATGACTCCATATTTGGGCCCCTCGTGGCCCCTTGTGAACAGCTGGTCCTCTCTGCTGGCAGTATGTGGGGGTCTGTACGCAGACTGACGTGTGGTCTCCTCCCTCCTTCCAACAGACTCGTGCCTCTTTCATCCAGGAGTTCCCATCTTCCACGATGCCCTGAAGGTAAACTCGTCACGCTGATTCAGCCCGTTTTTACAGCCTGATATTAAAATCAGTTTGTTTTTCAGTCATTCCCACACACAGCACAATGAAATGGTGAAAACACAACAATAGACTGGTTTTGTGAGTTTGTTAAAATAACCCGATGATGTTCAACCCCAGTTCCAATGAGGTTAGAAACATCAATAAAAACAGAAACGATGATTTGCAAATTCTTCTCAACTTACATGTACCTTCAACTGAATACACTACAAAGATGAGATATTTAATGTTCAAACAAAAAAAAATATTCAAATAGTCTCTCATTTTGAATTTAATGCTGCAACACGTTGGGCCAGGAGCAACAAAAGACTGGGAAAGTTGATGAATGCTCAGCCTGTTTGGGTGAACTGGGAACAGGTGAGTATCATGATCGGGTATAAAGGGAGCATCCTCGAAAGGCTCAGTTGTTCACAAGCTAGGATGGGGCGAGGTTCACCACTTTGTGAACAACTGTCTGAGCAAATAGTCCGACAGTTTAGAAACGTTTCTTAACATACAATGACAAGGAATTCAGGGATGTCATCATCTACAGTCCATAATATCAAAAGATTCAGAGAATCTGGACAAATCTCTGCCAGTCAGCTGCATGGCTGAAAACCAACACTGAATACCCGTGACCTTTGACCCCTCAGGCAGCCCTGCGTTAAAAACCCACATCATTCTGTAACAGATACAGCAGGTAAAATAAGTATTGAACACGTCACCATTTTTCTCAGTAAAAATATTACTAGGTGGCAAAGTATTAGATAAATTTCAGTAAGGGTGTTCAATACTTTTTCCCTGTGCCATTCCACATTATTACAAATAACTTCATTTCTGGACATTTATGGTTTGATTTCTTT